GCATATTTTAAACCAACAGATGCAAATGCCTCAGTAGCCTTTGCCCTCATCTTGCCCTGCACACTGTGGTGTGCAAGGGGTGTAGGTTGCTTTTGTATTTTCCAGAGAATTCTGTGTGTCAAGGAACTGTTGCTCTGATAAAGCTGATATTCAACTGCTGAGCCATTACAAAGGGCAGGTGATAACCCACTATTGGTCTTCAATACGTGTATTTTAAAAGATTAAGTAAGTCTTTTATTATGTGAATGACATTTCAAATGTGAACTCCATGCTTGGTTTCTTCTCCCTCCCTAGCTATTGTGTGCAATAACATCTAAACATACAAATATATAATCTCCTCCGCAACACGTCATTGTGTATTTCCTGAATCACATCCCGAGTCAGCACAAATCAAGACTTCAGTGACAATCCTCACCATTGACACCAGCCTCTGTGCAGTCAGAGGCCAATTCACCAGCTGTTCCCCACTGCAGAAGGAGAATGCTGGACTTACATAACAGTTCAAGTTTTCTCCTTTGAAGTTGTAGAGCCACTGCCTCAGCTGGTGTATGTTTGCTGTAGTGCCCTTTCCCCACAGTTACCACAGAGTTCTCCACCTTTCTAAAGGGTGGTCAAGAACAAGTGACATCTTATGTGCAGCAGAATCTGTACCATGAAAATCAAATGGACAAATACAGAAAATTTAGTAAGTGCCCTTTGTGGATTGAACTAATAAGAACAAACGATGGCACACACTCAGGAATGAAGAGTGTTTGATAGACTCCCTTACCTACAGCAGGGAAAATAAATTCTCCTGTTTGTAAAAAATTGCATGTTGCTTCATAAAGCAAGAGCTTATCTGGGTTTTAATAGGTGCCATGGCAACAATGTTACTGGAGTATGCATAGGAGCATTTTTGAAGGGAGGGAACAGGGTGAAACAAAAGGCTCACTGATTATCTGTGGACACAAGGACTTTTGCTGCAGACACAAATACAGATTCTCCTTCTTCTTGTTCCTGGGTGGCTATTTACAGTCACCACCACATTCACACTTTCACTTTATACTGCTGTTGTCCAAAAATAATGAAAAAAGGGGGAAAACCTGTTACAACTAGGACTGATTTTAACCATACTTCAGAGTTCTGTTATATCTGCGTCAGTTTTAATCAACCTCTTGCCTATGCAGAAACAGTTGCAATACTTGAGAAATAGACTTTAATTCTCTAATTCAAGCTCCAATTTATTTAGATTCTATTTCTTAACAAAAACCAAATTCTTGCAATGTACTTTTAGTCCCTCTTTCCCAGTCACTTTTGAATATCTTTGAGAATATCTTTTGAACATTTTGAGAGCAAAGTGAAAGTTTTAAAGAGAGTTCCTGGATATTTTTGTGAATGAGAGGCTGGAATATTTCATACCCTGAGAAGGCTGGAGTTAGGGCTCAAAAATGGTTTTAGACATAAGGAATTCCAAGCAAGACAGAACTGCAGATCACCAGGGTCTGTAAACCCAGATGCTCATGGAGACAATTTGCTTTTCCAGTCACTCATTCTCATTCTGCATTACTTCACAAACTTTGTTTTGATTTCGCTCAGATGGTACTAGTTTACTTTCTGTTCATGCAAGAACCTTCCTGACCCTTGCAGCCCACATTTTCTGCCTTCCTGTTTCTTGCTCTCATTTTAGATCAGTTCACACATCCATCCTACAATGCTTAACACAACCCTTTGGCCAGTGAAGTTTGCTATACACCTTATATTTCTAAATCCTTCTATGTTTTCTTTTTGATTGTGTGATATATGACAATGATCTAACCTTGTCACCCTTTGGTATGTGGATAGCCTTCAGATGACCTGGAGATTTCACAGGATGAAAAGTATATGTATTACTCTCAAGGAAAAATTTACCAGATAAGCCAGCTTTATAATGGCATTTTACTGGTTTGTAATAAGATTTATGAATCAAAAACTAACAGCAAGCAGCATGTAAAACCCAGGAATCATAAAAGGCAGTATCTGTTTCTTTGAGATTAGCAGGACAAATACTGAAGTCCACTATTTCAGACTTCAGAATGAAGGAAAGATTTGTATGCTTCTACTTTTCAGACTTCTTTGTGGCCCAGCTATAAAATATGCTGCCTTCATACAAGTCTGGTCAAATATATGGTTGCTTTCTGCAGCTGAGTCCACTGTCTTTAGGTCATAGGTATACAATTACTCTAAGCCCTATACTTGCTTTAACAAGCCTTCAATTCACTGAAAAATCCTCCCCTGCTTCAGCAGTTTAGTTTACTTAATTAATTTCCTATTTTCACTTTACAGGGAGTTGGGAACCTTGGCCTTGATACAGATCGGATACACGCCTGAACTACCTTTAGTCAGTCAAACACCACAGTCTGGGTTCCATCCATTGATAAGATACACCCATGGGCTGTATGAAATAAAGCCATTTGCAGCTTCCTTGTTCCTCACTCCTCATTGAGAAAAGATTTCCAGCCACTGCACGTACAAAGAGTTCCAAGTACGAATAAAACTTAGAAAAACAAGTTCCTGAGTCTGCAGGCAGACTATGAAAATAGTACAGAAAGATGCAACTTGCATCTCCAGTTAGCCTCATTGGCAGGTCAGCTAAAAACATGTATTTTTACCTGTTTTGCTTAAAAAAGATGATTTTGCACCTTCCACACCAAGCACTCCATGCAGTGACAAACCCCATAAGTATGGGAGAAAAATAATTATTGTTGATCTTCATTGTGAGTCTCCCACTAATTTTAATAATGACTCAGGAGAGGAGAATGGTATTCTAAATACAGATTGTAATGCACAGAACAGGGGATTAGATCTTCCTTATTACATGAATTGGACACCTGAAAAACCTGGCTTTATTTTCAGCAGACTAGCTTTTTAGCATATGTGAAGATTCAAGAAACCCACAGGTCTGAAGTCTCTGGCAGTAGCTACATGATGCTTAGAACTATCTATCAGCATAGATGACATAGGACCAACATAAATTATTGAGAGAGCATAAAGCAAGAAATTTTAGTAAGGACAGTGATCATAATGGCAGACTACTACACTTCCATGCTGCTTGTATTCATTTCTACCTATTCTTAAGGTGTTTAACAAAGAAAAAACATATGGTGATCATCTAGTTTAATAATGTGCTATGCCATTTTGTGCCCACTGGCCGCTAATTCTGTCCAGGCCCGTGGCATCCAAGAGGACAGTATACTTCCCTGCCCGTGTTTTGTCCCTGAAGGGATGGGAGTTACATACCTACTCCTGAAGACCTGACTGAAAAGCTCACAGCAGAGGGAGCAGTTCCCCAGCCAAAGCAAGAGCCACAGCTGACACTGCATTATTGGTTTGCAGGGCTCCAACTTTACAGAGCACCAAGTGCTTTCCCAAACATAGCTCTGTGCACTACCTGACACCCCAGCACAGAGCATTTCAGACTTCCTCCAGCACAGGCTGCGACAATGAGTCAGTCAGCCAGCTCAAACCAACAGAATGGCACTGACCAGTGTGCCTCACGGCTGAAATTGTACAGACAATGCTTTCTTAAAGTAGCAGATCCAAAAAGGGGGCATAACAAACTTCTCACCAAGTCACACAGATGAACTTTGCTCTGGTTGTTAAGTTTTACAATTGCATCAAATCTGTTTTCCTGTATGTGCTGCATTTCAGAGACTGAAATACTGAACAGCTCTCTCTGCTTTTTATGCCAGACAGCCATGACAACGCTGCTTTGGTTGCACTGCTTCCTTCGCAAATATGCACTGTATTCTATCTGCATGTTCCACAAGAAGTTGAGCAATGAATTTTTCTTAACATATTGCTTCTTTTCACCTTATGACTGCAATACCTTTTTTACCTCATCACTGTAGTAGTACCTTAACCATGTGTCCATGCTACTTCAGAAAGACAAAGAACGCAGTGCTTGTAGCTCAGCAAATGAAGCAAGGGCACCACGGTTAGGTAGTACACAGTCACTGTAGCAAGTATTGCTGTTTCCCTCTATGCCGATGGGAATGTGGCTGTGGTGCAGCAGAATTGTGACTGAAGATCTGATTACTGATTATACAGAAAGAAGCAAGCTGTTGTTTCCAAATGTATTTTGAGCACTTCAATGCTCTAAGTACTTCAGCAACTCCAGCAGAACAAAATGCATTTTATCAGTACGTGTTACCAAGAACAGAAAAGATGCATCAGTTCACTCTGCTCCTTCAGATAAAAGGCCCAAAGCTGCTTTGCACTTCTAGAACTCTGCCACCCTAATCAATCACACCACTACACAACAGGCCAGTGGAGATGCATCACCGTATGTAATGAGCAAATCGGAGTATTGCAACACCTCTTTGAATAATTGTGGAGACACTAATATCAGAAACAGAGAGCAGGAGTCATTTTGTGAAGACATAGAAGACCTGTGTTCTTGTAGTGAGATGTCTCAAAATCTATTACAGTAGCAGTGAAACAAACGGTTCAAAAGAAAAAGCATACAGTTTACTGAACCACTACTGGCCTGAACTTCAGAAAACTGAGGGGGATTGATTTCTTCAGAAACTTTCCACATAACCAGATCTTTTAATACACCACTTAGGCCAAGTTATTTACTGCTTTACCATATATAGTTCTGCATAAAGAACTGTATGGGATGTTGGGCAGGAATCCTTCTAGTGCCTAACTGTAGGCCAGGTTCCAATAGCACTTGAAATAGTCACATCCTTTCCCTGAACCAGCTCGAGAGAAATTTAACTTGGGGCACACCGGAGGGGAAGCAAAATACAGATTAAATTAAGACATTTCAACAGCAGTAGATGTCAGGATGCTTTTTGGATTATTTCCTTTTACTAGAGAAATTCCACTACCACTTCACAAAAGAAAATGCCCACTATGAGCAGGCATCGTTCATTTCACAAACTTTCATAATCTGTAATACTTTGGAGCAGGCAGTTGTGTATAAAACTACTTATCTCTTCCGTTAAAACCTTACATTAATTACAAAGGAAAAAGAGAGATCAGGAGACCCAAAATTTTTAGTTTATTTTAATTATTATCCTGCACAGTTGCTTCAGAAGAAGAGGAAGCATTTTCTAAATAAATTTTTCCTTTCAAAAACTCAACTGCTTCTTCATTTGTCATTTCCTGAAACTTCCTGTTCTGGATCTAGAAGAAAGTAAAAGGAGAGAGTACATTATTTTTATTATCCAAACTACCCTGTCCTACAAACCAAGTGTTCAGTGATGAGAAGGCCATAGGGATTTGCTGTATTTTAAAAACAAGTTCACTTGAGTCATTCACTCTATGAAAATCAGGGAAACAAGCTAGAGACACATAAGTTTTTTAGGCACAAAGAATTCAGTGGCTTGATTTTTTTTCCCCCTCAACTATGATTACATTTATTTCACTGATAATGGTAAGTGGTGGCTTGTCTTTTAGAGTTCCTCTGCCCTTTCTTGGTAGTGACACCATCACTCCGTTTTAACTAGCAAAGATACGCAATTACCACTCTGGAGAAGGCCCACCATCCCAGGTGAGCTTTCATGTTTGGTAGAACAATGCCTGTTCTACCAAACACACTCATCACTACACTGATAACAGAACCCAAACAGAGAGAATAACCTGACTCTTCTTACCAGAATCACGTGATAGCCCAGTTTATTTAGATGCCGCTTCTTCATTGCCAGCTTCCCTTGGGGGTGTGTTGTACCCATGCAGAAAGCAGACAGAGGAACAAACAGAAGAGCCAATCTACAACCAAGAAGAGCACAAATGCAGAACAAGCATTTTTAAGATAATGATTCAATGATGTCTTTTAACACAGCAGAATATACAGCTCTCTTTCTGGTAGGCAAAAATATCAGTACTACAAAAATTTCAAACTTCAGAATTAAGTAATTTAGACTCTTTCTTCTTCCATGAGCTCACACAACTTCCACCATCTACCCAAATACCTACAGCAGAATTAAGTACTTAGATCTCCACTTCTCCCACAATGAGAAGGTAATAGATCATTCAGCATTCTCCATTAATCTGAGAGATTCTGCATTTACTTTGATCTTTTGCTAATAATATTCAGAATCAGTTACTTCCTTCCATAAAAACCTACTTGGAAGGGAGAGAAAAGTTGAATGGCTTGGAACACTGACTTTCTGTTACACAGTTCACTAGCTCTCTTTTTACCAAAAAGCAAACTGTATAAAAATACATTGTGCAGTGATCCAGCACACAAATGTTAAGTATCACCCAATTCTACTTAAGCATTACTTAAATGGTATATGTCCTGCTTCAATTACTGAGAGGTCAGTCTTCTACACAAGATTAAATTAATCACCTAAAATGTGCATATGATGATCCTTTTTATTCAAAGTATATTTCAGTAGCTGAATTAACTGCCATAACATATCATTAAGATGCACATTTTTGAGACAAGAGAATAACTGAATGTTTAATTGGACACACAAACACTTGCAATTTTAAAATTCTACCTGCATTCATTACTAGAGTATCAGATCACTGTGATGTTTCCTGCCTCTTTCTCTGAAATGTTAATTTTAGCCTCTCTCAGAAGCAGGTATTGAGCTGGATGAATAGTTACTCTGAACTGGCACGGCAATTTTTGTGTATTTCAGTGACCATAAATAACAATTTAGTTATCTACTTTGCTCCTGCAAATCAGTGAACTGAAGTAGTAACTGGATGGAATACATACAAATAAAACTAGCCTGCTAGAAAAAATATGGAGTAAAAGAGACACCTTTGAACACCTGGGTCAGGATTATCATCTGTTGCAGCTATAGGGAGCACTTTTTTTCCTTCTGAATCCATTCTGATTTCAAAATCTGAAAAAAACCCAACAAAACAAGAGGTTACAATTAATGTTCTCATTTGAACACATTAATTGTTCAAACTGTTTTCAAACGAACAGCTCATTTGAAAAAGTTAATAGGCACCATTGCTGATCTGTTTCTAATTGCTGTTCTCTATTACTTGACTTATTACTGATAGCTTTTCCCTCCCTGCAACCAATATAAACAGCTATAGCTTGCAGATCTCCAGAAAAAATAAATTTGTTTTTGGAAACTGCAGATGTAACTTTATGGGAGCGAAATCATTGTTTAAAGAAACTACTCTTGATTGCAGGCTGTCATGCTTACTCATGTTTTCCTGTAGTCCAATTCCTCATTGGAAATATTTGGGAAGAAAATTATTACAAGTACAGAAGAACTGGTAAGCTGGATGGCTGACAAAAAAAATAAGCAAGATCAAAACATAAAAGAAACCAAACCTTCTGAAATGATCACCTGTCAAAAGGTCATATCACATTTCATAAAAGAAGGTGAAACCCAAACCTTAGCCAGAACTTCAGAGAAGAAACAAGTTAGAGAACAAAAGGCAGCTGCTGTTTGGCCTTGTTTCTAACGTAATTTAGTACCAACATGTCAACTCTCTCGAACAGTTGGCCATACTGGATTTATGTACAATTAACATCTGCTTGCTGATGCTTAACAAAAAGTCCAAAGCAGTTTTGAGAATAAGAGAAATCATTAACTTTTAGGAAATGGATTTAAATACTTTACCAGAAGCATCCTAGAAAGTAGATTCACCAACCAAGGACATAATTTGTTAAAAGACTGTCATCAAAAGTGTTACACTTTTAATCACTTGCACCCTATGCAAATTTATTACCACCTTATTGTTTTGGGGATTATAAATCTATATTAAAAAGAATTTGACAATAATTTAGCTTCATACCAACGTGATACTTATATGGCAGCTGAGCATTTTGCCGAAACATGTTCTCATCTCCTAGAAGCTCTATCAGTGCCTCCTGAGCCTTTCTGAGATTAAGAGAGACCAATGAGGACGAATTCTCGGTCACCACAAATGCAGGCTTTGTGAAGGAAGGGCTATCAAGTTCCATACAAGTTTTCACACAGCAAAGCATCATTTCCTTTTGTTCTTTGTAAAGACCATCTGAAAAAGGATACAAAAATACTACATACAATGTATCATCCCACAGGATTTTTAATTTTATTATCTTTTATAGTCTGTTCTAGCACAACAAATGAATTTCGATGTAAGAAGTGAAACCCAATTGATTTTCACTGAATATTATTGAGTCTCTTCAATGTATTGTTAAATACACACCATCAATTCACTAATTACAAAATTAAAGTCTATGGCAGGGAGCTTGCCCATTTATGCAGTCTTCCCCCTCTGCTGTACACAGCTCTGTGCGTGCTGTCAGTTATCATGGGAGAGTATGCATAAAAACCATTCATAAAATCCACACAATCAGGACGCTACTTATAAATCAAAAAGGGATATTAGACTCAGCCAAAATTTTGAAACTGTACTTGAAGAGCATTAAGCTGTGCAAATGCTAGGCAGTTACAGCTTTACAGCTTTCAGGTTGAGACACAGCAGGCTCAACAGCAAGACACAGTTTTTACACCGAATTTCTACTCCGCTCAACTATTCTACTACCTGTACAAAATTGTAATGTGGAAAGCAAATTCTTCTACAAACCATTACAAGTACCTCATTATAACTCAGAGCAGTCCAAATCCCACTTTTACTCATGATTCCAGGTACTAAAGTTAGTTTATAAAGGTTAAGACTTCCTATATTTTTAATAATGCCTGAACATCTACTGACTGTAGAACCCTTGGCTCTTGCACATTTCTACCACTTTCACAAATCCCATCTTCATCTCTGTTCATTTAATTGCACACCTACTATGAAACTGTTTCCACCATGGGGCCCAAGACAATAAGCTGATGCCCTAGTGCAAAGCCAGATCACTCAGAACACCATTACTAAATTAGCTCCGTCTTGAGGACTTCAAATTTAATATTAATCATGTTGGGGTTCTTTAATTTCTAATCTTTTAACACAATTACAACAAATTATGTACACAGGCAGACTATTCTTTTTAAAACAAGAAGATGACAAAGTAAGGTCTGACCTGACAGTATAAGTTCATCCTTGCTGTCCTTTTGCAGCAGCTCATCCAGTGCTTGATGGGGAAGATATCCTAACATGCAGAGTGAATATGCTGCCTTCAGCAGTTCTGTGTCGGAAATCTGAGGCAGGCATTTATTCAAGCAGCTTTGAAGGGTCTCAAAAAACCTTTCCAAAATCAGAAGAAAAGTATCTAAATACACAAATAAGGCTATAAAAACACACATTTCAAACAAAAATACAAGTTAGAAATCTTTGTTAGCTTGTGTTATTTACCACTAGCATTTGATTCTTACTTTGAGGATAAAGCTACCTATCAACAGATTTAGTAGCCTAGTCAGTCTAGAACCAAAGTCTTCAGCTAGACAAAAAAAATCCTATGTAGAAAAAATGTAAAAAGACACAGCAAATTTACTTTGCAGATTAATGAAACCGGATTATGAACTCTTCCACAACTGAAATCAAATACTAGTTGCCATACATTACTCTATAATGACTACGTAACGTATTATCAGGCATCCTAAATGAAAACCTACCGATGCTTTTGGACTCTGGGAACATAGTTGAGTCGTGAATACACTCGGAGAACAATCAAAAGGTTTTTCAAGTTAAGGAATTCAGGGTCTTCGGTCAGCTTCTCAGCAAAAATCTCCATCAACTCACTAGGCTGAAAGCCAAGTGCCTCACAGGCAGAAAGAAAAAGGATAATCTAAATGAAAAGAGAGTTTTATAAGTCAAGAAAGTCAGTGAAGTAAATCCTACCTGTTGATATCATAAAAGGCATTTTTAATGAAAGCAAATTTTTCAAACCATAACACCACTTTTATTTGTTTCTTTACTTATCAATAAATAGAAGAGCATTTTAAAAATTTAACTATCAACTTCATCAGACTGGTATACCTAAAAATCTGTTCCCCAAAGATCAAGCACAAACATGAAGAAACATAAGATGGAAAGCACCAGATACTCTACTAGTACTGCTATAAATTATTTGGTCTCAAACTCACCTGTCTTTTGTCCCAAAGGCAGGCAGTGGAATTAACGTAGTCTGCTAATGCTGAAAACAGTTTTACATTACGGTACTGGAGAGTGTGACAAGCTTCCAGAATGAGAATTAACTGCCGAAATGGAACATCATGGACATTTTCTGTAACAGTAGATCAAAAAGGGACAAATGTTACAAAGCAATGGGAGCTGTAGGTTGGAGACACTGTGGGAACAGTTTGGTTAAGGGATGGAGGAGGGAAAAAATCTGATATGAAACTGTGGAACAGACTGAGACTAGCTAGGCAAAGCTCAACTGAGCTAAAACACATGAAGAAACTGAGACAGGAGAAACCAAACTGAGTTGGCATCAAGCTAGAACACATTAATCAGCAAAAGGGGACAAATTTAGAAAATAAGCAAGAAGATTGTGTTCCCAGGACACCTTCCAGGTTTCTTGACTTTCAGCACTCAAAAATGCTGAAAAAAGTCGCTGCTCACTCTGTGTATGTCACCTGGCCTGTGTCCTGAGTGTGGTGGAAGTCCTATGGGAGAAGCCAGTATGTGTAATTAAACACTGTGTCCTAATACATATAAGGACAATAAAGGCTAAACACTTCTGGTTTATTTATGTTAAAAATGCTATTTTACTATTTTAATGCTTTTTCAGACACAAACGCATTTTTATTTTAAGTATGAATCAATACATACTGACCACATATACTTAAGCAATGTATTGTAAAGGTGTAGAGAGACGTGAAAGCATTAGCTTTCATTTAACGTTTCTTTGGGCTACAGAATGAGGTCACTTATTAAGCAATACTCAATAATTAAATCCAGTTCATCAGGGAAACACTATTTTTCATTTAGTTTACCAATTAATCACACTAAGCTGCCAATCCGTCCTGAAAGCTGTCTGTTTCCAATTCAGATTTGTTTTAAAATTTTATTTGAAATCTGTCTTTTCTTGATAGAATTAAATTCTTTTTCCTAAATCCTGTGTACAGAAAAACATAAACAAAAACATGTAATTCAGGTAAATGTTAAGAAGGGCAGAGATGACAAGAGCTATTTGTTTTCATTATTTATCAGTAATTTTCTGTCTTGCTTCTTGTCAAATGGCTCCACATAACTATAATATCCTGTAAAACAAAGATGTTTCCTGAGTTTTAAAGGAAGTCAGAAAAGGAAGATGAGACAGTAATTAGAAAGAATTTGGTATAAGGAAGGGAAATTTAATAAGTATATTTTTTTCTTACCCTGGATCTTTTTACTGCAGGCAGTCAGGATTGGATACGAACAATAATTCATTGCAACAAGAGCCAAAAACACACGCAGAGCATTCGGAAAAGTCAGATGATCTATTTCTTTCAAAACTGCCATCTAAAGTGAATCAGAGTTTATTAAATCCTTCATTCTTCTGGTATATTATCACTGCTTTCTGGTGAAGACATTTTCACCAAAACTTTCCCAAATTCCTTAGTTCAGATTTATATGAAAGAAAAAAAAGCAAAAAATAGCAAAAGCATAAAGTAACTACTTTCAATTTCTTAATATACAATTTTAACAGGTCAAGTGCTCTAGATATGTGTCACTATGCAAGTTCCCAGAAATTTGCCTTTATATGCTTCTTTCAAAAGAAAGAAGTCCCAGCAAAGGTCATTTCCAAATACTGTGAATATGTATCTTCTGCAAACTCTTAAAAAAGTAGCAGAAACAAAATTGGCACAGTTGACTGATCTGCATGCCCATGAAAGATGTAAGCCACCAAAGTGATCCATACTATACCGAGCAGCCTATCTTTAATACAAACACCCAGCTACAAATGTGAGGTGGCCAGCTCTGTGGAGGCAGAGGTGGTCAGCTCTGTTGCCACAAGAGAGATTTCATTTATTGAAGCAGTAATTAGATTGATATAAATGACAGTAAAAACGAGACTACAAAATATATTGGCTACTAAAATACAATATTCTTACTGCATGCATATCAAAGGTTAAATACAAAATGCACCTACAATAGAAATTACACTGTAAAAAAATAGCACCCTGTGGGCTCAGAAAATTAGGAGCTCCCTTTAGCTAACAAGTGCAAATGTTATTTTCCTTTCACTTTTATGATATTTCATGGATGCCATTACTAAGTCTGACCTCAGTGCCCTTCAGTTATGTGATGAAAACACAGCAGGCCTTGTTTGAAAAGTGGTTTCAAAAAGGATTTTTAAATCAGGGGACAAACTTCATTACGCCCTGCCATAAAACCTAAAGACTGCTCCCAACCTCACTCCCATCAGTCTTCCATCCCCTTACCATTACTGGACACAGCCCCATCACAGACCAGTTTTCTGTCGCCTTGTCTTCCAGTCACAAGCTGGGCAAGGGAATCAGGGAACAGCCTTTAAGTGCTTCTATGAAACAACATGTGGCCAAACCAAAGAGCCAAGGGCACTGCCATTTTACTGCCTCAACTCCTTTTGTTCCCAACCCCCAAATTTAAGTTCTTCCTGCAGATATACCTGGACCATACACAATTTATAAACAATGCAAGAGCACAGGCTTTGTGGAAGTAAAAATGAGCCTCCAACTAAACTTACCTCTAATTTCTTTTTCAGAAAAAACGGAACATCTTTTCCCATGCATTTCATCAGGTTTTGCAGAATAAAGATGTCTTTGATACCTGAAATGCGCTGCTCCACTAGTAACCTGATGAAGAAACACACACAAGAACTTTCCTCATTTCAGCAGAAACAGTAGGTACCCCCCTTCTTCCTCACTGATGTACCCCTAAGTTAAAGCTGTAATTCCCTGCTCCTTTCCCACCTCCTTTTTTATGCAATATTGGCATAACTCTACGTGACGTAGCTGCAGCACAGATATTTTACACACGGAAATAATTTTATATACTTTCTTAACATTATCCTGATAGATGAATGATGTTGCTGATATATTAACAGCAGGGGCACCTGACCAGACTGCATATGTGACTGTGTAGATGTGAGTCCCGTTAACCGTCAAAGAATTAACATCCTTCTGCAGAAAAAAAAATTGCATATTTTTATCTCAGAATCATCTATGTGCAAACAAGTTCTGAAACTGCCAGGAAACTCAGGAACGGACACTGACAACAATTTGTTGCAAGTGAGGAAAGAAAACAAACAAGCAGTGCTGTGGGCTGCAAGAACAGAAGGGGAATATCGCAACACAGGGATCATAGGCACAAGATGAAGGAATTCTGCATTCCTAGCACCTGCTTTTCTGTCTCAGAGGGTGGTATTGTAATTGTTCTGTCCAAACAACCCTTAAATATACCTGCACAGCTACAAAATTATGAAGTGCCACTTTCTAAGGCAGTGCACTGGTCTGAAATTCACCCCTGCAAATAGGCAAGAGCTCCAGACATCAAGACAGAGAGAGAGCTGTAGAGGGCTCTCCTGCTTTGCGCCAACTTTTAAGACACATCCACCTTCTCAAAGTAGAACGTGACACAGGATCAAAAGTACTAATCCATGGCAAGTTTTGTGACAGCCTCAGTAAGAACAATCTTATGGGACTGACCAGCTTGGTTAGTCACATAAATCGCATTGGCCCAGAAAAAATTCACTACAGCCAAACAAGTTATTCTGATAAAGCACTACAGAGAGGGACTTGCTGGATGCAACTAGTCTTCATCCTAATTTTTACTTACTAAATTAAAAGAAAATATTCCCAGGCTGCTAAATAGCATTTTTAATTATGAAAAATCAAAAATACTTCACAAAGTAAGCTAGTCTCACTACCTTCCATCTACACCCAGATAAAAGAGGGATAGATATGTGAAGGGACTTAAGATCACAAAAAACCCACACTGATGGAGCTGCAGCCAGAACACAATTCCCTGCGGACCAGACTAGTACCCTATACTACTGGAAGCCCTCCTGCTCGAAACTGCAAAGACAACGCCAAAAATCACTGTGTAGGACAGCTCTAATCTCATGTGATCGTTTAAATCCTAAAAGCACAGTATGTATTCTATGCGCAGACATTCCCTCGATGATTTCTAACAGACATGTATTCGAACAACATTGAACTAGGAAGAACACGTGAAAGATATGTTTTTCTCACTGTAATCCAGCTTGAAGAGCGCTCACATTCTTGTCTTTGTCCATCCCTGATAAAGTAGTTGCCAAAACGGAGACACATCGGTTATCGAGTTGATTGAGCTTCTCCTGTTAAAGTTTCCACAATGTCAGATTACTTTAAACCAACAGAAGTTTCAGAAAAGTAAAACTGACCACTCTTAATCTGTACCTGTCATTTTTTTTTCCCTCAAAAGTCAATTCACAAGCTTTAATTCTGCAGTGACCCCCACAAAGACTCACATCAAAATCAGTTGATTTGAGAGGGGTAATGATTTTTGAGACTTCTCCTCTGTTAGATCTGAAACCAAGCAGTGGTTTCAAAAATGAAGGAGACAAGAAGTACACACAAATGAACTATGGGAACCCTGTTTCCATAGAACACCAGCCTAAGCCAGGGATGTAACCCAGTTCTCTCTGATGCTGCACAGACTTCCAGAATTGCCCACAAGGTTTCAGCCCAGATTTAGGAGAAGGATCTTCCCACTTACTTGGCACACTCTCAGCAAAGTCTGGACCAGAAGCGTGTTCTGGGGCACCCCGAGGTTCACCACGGCGTGCAGGCTGAACACCAGGTCCCCACGCGTCATCCTGCGGGAGTCCCGCAGCAGCTGCTGGCACAGCTTGGCAAAGGCCGGGTGCTCAAAGATCAGCTGCTTCTCGTAGCGCTGCTGCTCCTCTGACATGTGTTTGAAGAGCCTCCACGTGGTGGTCAAACAGTTCGTGTAATGCTTGATGGAGAGAGCAGACTCGGAAGCCAAGTCCAGCGCATCGCAAGGACAGGTGCATTTCCGGAGACTATTAAAGAATGGGTCATTATGACCCACTACATGCTTCGCTTTGAAGCTCCCAGAATCATCCAACTTTTCTGCTTCCAAGGAGCTCTGGGAAGCCTGCTCACTCACCAAAGCCTCTGCACCTGTGCTAAACACATCCGTCTTTTGAGATAGAAATCGAAGTGATGATCCATGCAGAGAAGGAAAAATATTTAAAAATAACTCCCTGAAGTTCACATTTCCCAAGGGATCCCTGTATCTGCTAATCCATAAAATGTGTTTTCTTGTTGTGCCTGAAGATCTGGGAGTCAACACAGAACTGTACCTATGCAGGTATCTAACAGTATTTAACAAATAACTTATTCTCTTATTCATTTTTGCTAATTCCTCATGAATAGACTTCAAATACCAACTCAAATCCGATGAAATTCTACAAATGGAAACAGTTCTGGAGGAAGTGCATAAGATCACTCATCTGTAAAAACAATTGAAAATTATGGGTTAGTTACCAGACTTTGAACTCCTACAGTTTCAACTGCCAGATCTATGCACTTTTACAGGAGGGGACAAGATTTGGGAAAAGATCCCTGGAAAATGAGGGGCTTTTATTCAGTCCCCTACATTTCAGCCAAACATCTCGGCACAAGGCAAACTCAGCCCGGGTGTCAACTGTTTCCTCCTCTTTGCCGCTCTAATCAAAAGCCCTGCCGGGAGGCACAGGTTTTTCCTAAGTGACGTTTCCCAGGCAGACGCATCTCCAGGGCCCTGGAGGGTCCCCTTTAGCTCCGGGTAACAAAATCCCGCCCGCCAGCCTGGCCTGATCTCCCTGCCGCCACCCGCCGGGAAAGCCGCCTGCCCGGCTCACCCGCGGGATCACTCCCGGGCCGGGGACACCAGGCGGGGAGAAGCCGCTGGGTTTCGGGATCGCTCCCCCCAGGCGCCGGGAGCACTGCCCAGCGGAGCAGGACGGCACAAGGGGACAGAGGTCTTTGGGCGGCTCCGCACCGGCTCGGAGCTCCCGGACGCAACAGCTGGCCGGGCCGTGCCTGGCGCCGATCGCACCAGCCGAGCCGTGCCGGGACCAGAGGGCCGGGCTGGGCCGTGCCGGGGTCCCCGGCAAGCGGCGGCTGCCGTTACCTCTCACGCGGCGCCGCCGCCATAACACCGCCCGCTCCCCGCGCGCTTCCGGCGGGCCTCGCGAGAGGGATGGTGCGCGACGAGGGACAAACTACCTCGGCGCGCGGCGCGTTGCTGCGCAACGCCGGAGCCACCGTTGGGGGGCGGCGCGCTCATGGCCAAGTTCGTGGTGGCGGGTGAGGGGAGATCCGGGATCCGTGCGGGGCAGCGCCTCGTACCGCCACCAGGGACCCCGGGGCGGCCCCGGCGGCACCGCTTCGTACGGGCACCCGGGACGCCGGGGCGACCCCGGCGGCAGCAGCAGCACCTTGTACCGGGACCCGGGCGGGGCAGCCCCGCCGCGCTTGCAGCGGCCGTCCCTCATTGCGGGCTCCCCACCATCCCCTCTTCAGGCTCCCCGGGAGCCGTGCCCACACGGCCTTAGCAGTACCCGAGTCAGCGTTTTCCCCTTATCCCGTCAGTGAGGCTTCGTCCTCTGCTGCTATTCCCGCAGGGCTGGCCTCCTCGGCCCCTTGAACGCTGTCTGAAGAGACTGTTTCACCTCCAGAGCTACCTTTTGCTGGCTCACATTAAACAATGGTCTTTTTAGCCCTTATCAGTCAGTGTCACAAAATCATCCATTTGTGCTCCTGTTGCTGTGTTCACAGGTAAGGCAAACTGCCCTTACTATGCCAAAGCTGAACACTTGGCTGACTGTCTCCAGGCTGCCTTGCCCAACTTCAGGGTTCACAAGATCACTCAGCACCCTGACCAGTGGGAGGTAAGGGATTGTAAGCCAAGTCACTGGTAGGTGCCCCAGTGCTCTACAAACCAACAAATGTGCTTACGTGTACTATGTTTATTTTCTTGTATTAGTGGTATTATATGTGGGTAGAGGTGCTGCAGAAGCAGCTTTGGCTGTGAGAGCCAACCAGAGGAAAGATTTGAATGTTTTGAGCAACTGGCATCACTGTGAGTCTTACTACAGAAGATGGGTACAAAGTGTGGGCCAGCCTAAAGGTGTGTTTTGTCAATAAAAAGTTCAAGGAGGTTTTTTTTTGTTTGGTCAGTTTTTTTGTTTTATGTATACATGGCATCTCAGCCTGTAAATCTTTTGGTCACTGTGATTGCATATGCCTTCAGAGTTGTTACTTGTCAAGAGCATTTCTGGCAGTCGAGGGCTTTGAATTGCTATGGAAGTATGAAGTTAAATATCACATATTTGTTTACAATGTGGATGTGCCTTTCTGAATATTTGTGCTGTAGACATGTCTACCCTGTAGTTCCTATAAGGATCTGAAAAAAAATGCAGTCTGACTTCATGAGATAGACAGTACAACGATGTTTATTATCTCTTATATTTTGCCTGACACCTCAGCCAAGTAAGTCAAACAGTTAAGTGGAAAGCAATTAACCTCTTCACCTTCCTTATCTTCTGCAGCTAAGTAATCCTCGTCTTATTCACTGCTTCACAACATTTCCATCTTCAGTATACTAAGACAATTAAGCAAAATCACAGCAGAAGTAAGACCTTTAGGTGAGGTATCACCCTGCCTTGCCTTGTGCTGTTTCCCCATTTTGCGCATGCTGGTACATAAATTGTGAAGCACCTTGTGATTATGTATTGAGAGGAAATAGTAAGAATGTTTATAGTTGTAAGATTTAAGTGTTATTTAAGTGTTAAAACCTTTTGGTGGGGATGTTTACATTAGCAGTGGCTTCATGACATTTGTGAAATGAATGGATGGGAACACAGACAGTCTCCTATCATTTGGAGAGAACTGTTGGACCGTGGAGGGAAAGGTCAGCTTCTGGGAGGACTTAAAGATTTTCTGGAATATGCTCAGGTAATGAGCTGCCTTTAATACTGTAAATCCATGTTTTATAACAGTGTTGTTCTTTTTTCCTCCTTCAAATGTAAAATAAGGCTGTTGTTTGTAATGGTACCTTGCTGGATGTGGGGTGCCATTAGAGATTAGAGATTGATTAGAGATTGTCCTTTTTCTTCTTAGCAATATTATGGCATCACTTCTATGATGTTGAGTAAAGAAATGTTAGACATTGCTGAGGAGAACCTACAGGCTCATCTTGAAATTGTAAAAGAGGATGAAGAGATTAAAAGTCTTATCAAGCCCATGCAGATCTGGATCACCAGGTGAGAGTAAAGAGAATATCTATGAAGTTTCACTCAGCTTCAAAAGAATGCAAGTGTAACCATCTGAAGTTATGCACAAATCCCTGTAATTTGATGATTTGAATTAGGTTCTGTACCCCTCACTATGACAAACAAACTACTTTTGTACACTTTGCACCAGTTTAAGTGAGGGTTGTGAAAAGGCAACATTTAGACCCCAGATCAGTTTAGGGAAAAGCAGGTATCTACAATATAAGCTGGAAATTTTGTTGTGTAACTATCTTGCATTAAATGTTGTTGGAAATATTTAAGTAGATAAAGTCTCTTGCTGTTCTGCCTTTAGAAATTTCTGTATTTTAGCAGTCCTAACAGAGCACCTTAAACAATTGTCGTTCTATAAAGACACCAATTTTTAAGTGACAACATCAACTAAAATGTATAGGATGGAAAAACCTTCAAATTAAAGGAGGACCCAAATGTTTTAATTCTTAACCTGTTAAAATAACAGAAAGAGAAGTAAAGGATCCAAGCTAATGATCTATTTAAATGTGATCAAATACAAAATATACACTTTCCAAACAAGCAGTGGTTCATTGTTAACTTTTCTACATCCTCCTCTTATCAGTGCATCAACTCCAATCTGTTATCAACTGATCCCTCTGTTGGCAAATGGAGAAGTGTTTGGGATGACCACAGAAATCAGTATCCATTTGCTTGACACTGGCCAGTTTAAGGAAGTTCTTTGCAGTATTGTAATGGAAGCTGAAGACATGGCGTTCCCACTTCTCCGCAGTATTTTGGAGCACACTGAAATAGATGAGGCTTTTATTGAAGCTGATGTTATTATTATTCTTGATGATGTCCTCTTAAACCTTGAAGTCCAGTCCCTTGAGAACTACATCAGAGAAGTGAGTGAGATATGTCAAATGTACGCTCCCTTGATTGAGAAGAATGCCAAGAGTGAGGTCAGAGTAATTTCATCAGGAAAAACCTTTGCAAATCTTAAGGCGACGCTGATTATGACGTACGGCCCATCCATTAAGCCTGAAAATATCATTGCTGTTGCAACATCCTGGGAAAGTGCAGCTAAAGCCACGCTGGCCAGGAAGCTGAATATGAGCACAGCAGGTGAATATTTATGTAGCATTTGGGGAAATCAGTGCACCTTTGGGAGTACATATTTCATTGCAGAACACAGTTGATATGCATGCCGAAATGCAAGCACAGCAGTGCACCCACTGAATTGCATGGGTGTACAGAATGCCAGGGTGTCTTTTGCTAGCTCTGGGATGCAGCCCTGCCATTCTGGTGTGTATTTCATGCTGGAAATATACTAAGAAGGTCTGAGTTGTGTTGCAGATTAGGAACTAGGATGTCAAGGTTGCGTTTGTACTCTGTAGTGCATTGTTATTTTGGAGACACACAAACTAGCTGTGATTAAACATGGCAACATACTGCTGTGCAGATAATGAGAGTAAAGTAGAACTGTGTTGTACTATTATTTTGGGGTTAATTAGCTTTCTTTCTCAGGTCAGTTCTTATAGCTTGGTTATATTTGCACAGTTCTGCACTACATAGCAAAGGTGTGCTCTGACAGCCTGCTCACCATCAGGATTCTTTCAGTGTTGTAGGGATAGAACTAGTCATTGATGACAAGTCTAGATATTTTGGAGCCTAATAAAATAGAAAAGTAAGTTAGGCTGAGGGGCCTATCAGCAGGTTATTTGAGAAAATTCTTTTCCACCAAAGAAAGTAGGTGTTTTTTAATGACTTTTTTATTGTTTCTGTATTTATTTTTACAGGATTTTAAAATTAATATTGCTGTATATTTGCAATATGATTTGGTTTGGTTTTTAAACACTAAGTATTTACTGGGGTTTGTCTATTGTTTAAAATAGCATGATATAAGTTAAAGTTCCTTTTTCAACTTGCAGTGAGGTTTCATATATTAAGGAGAACTTGGTTGCATTTTTCAGATCAAATAATTTCTGCTAGCAAGGCAGGGCACTGAACTGAAGAATAATTAATCTTGAAAGAGATTTGTGAAGGTCATCTAGTCCAGCCTACACTGTGAAAGTGTTTGTCCCTTCATTAATATATATATTTTCCTCTGTTACAGGAGTTAAAGACGTGATTGTTTGGGGCAATATTACTGGCTCTAACTACATTGATTTGTCACATGCAAAACTTTATGGATATGACTCTGCTATTTGGGGCCCAGCTAATTTTCAACGTCCTTTGTTGAATATGATTTATGATAGGTACAGTACCCATTTATTTCTGTAAAGTAAAACTAAATAACTAAATTAATCCATATTTATCTGAACTGGGTGATAAAACATCAAGAAAGGTGTTTGTTTCCAAGATTTGTCTTTACTGATTAGCACTGTTTTAAAGGGAAACATAAGTTGAGGTATTCATCCATGAAAAAAGTTGAGTAGTTCCTAGCACTGTACATAGTTCTGGCTCTCCTGCCGACTTTGTTTATAACTGTATTTTCCTACATTTTAAGTGGGTTTCTCTTCTATCATATCATGGGCAGTTTGTAAGTAATGAAAGTCCAGACAGTGACTTAGATATCTAGTACACATGAAGAAACTTTGAAATAGTACTAAACAGATATTTGTACCTGAATTACATGAAACATTCGGCCTGAGCACACTAAAGTTGTCAGTTTCTCAAAATAGACAATTTGTTAACAAATGTGAAAAGGATACCTGGCAGTCAGATAGCTTCTTGTGGAAAGAACAGTAGTAGAGAAAGGATAGGCACAGTGAGAGGGCAGCACATGTGAGATGCACCATGGCCCAGCTATATGGAGCTCCCACTCTGGTCTAAACCCGGCATTTACTGAAGAGGAGACATTTCTTTTGTTCTGTGCTTGTACTGAGCCTAGCATAGGGGGATTATGGTTCATGGCTGGATTCTTACATAAATCAGTAATACATATAAATTACAGTAATAACAGAGGTTATAACTTGAGTAAATAACCTAACTTTCATAGTAAAATGGTGTTTGGCATTACTTTTTGAGCTACTTTTTGTTAGACCTTTTTTTTAATGGCTGTAAATGCCTTGCCTCCAACAGAGAAGTTGGAGTAAGTTTTGACTGTTTTCTTTCCTCAGGTTTAGTTCTTTTTTTGTCTACAAAACTACTCTTCCTGCAATCATCTTAGATTTTTAATCTCTTTTTTTACCCTTTTTTGTTGGTAGGGAATGGATCCATTCAGAATTTCTATCTGCACAGGGTTCACTGCGTTCCCGAGTTGGTCGTTGCACAGGAATGTTACCTGCTCATGCAGTAACCACTGTACTGCAGTACTGGTATCACGGCTCTCCTCCTGGGGAGATTGTTTCTGTGGGAGTACTTAGTGAAGGTAAATCTATTTTCGTGTTCTCTTGTAGCTTTGCACTACATATAATAGCTTTCCCCTATCTCTAACATTACTTTTTAATCAATATTTTTAATGTAACAAAAACTTGTAAAACAAATCATGTGAGGCTGAGAGTTTGTTTCATCATAAGAACTTCCAAATCTAAGTAATTTTGCTTTCCAGGGCTAGTGATTTGATACTCACTTTCTATTAGCATCTCTCAGGTTAATATTGTCTTTTTGCAGATTTTCTCTTAGTCTTTCAGCTTTAATGCTTTTCTGATGTATGTGTTTTGCCCAAGAACTTTTTATAGATCTTAGTGCCTAAGACAGAAAAGCATGTTCTTTTTGCGTAGTTATATGGACCAATAAATGTAATATTTCACAACAGCCATTTAACCCTTGTATGAAATAAATAATTTTTCCCCCTTTTAAGATGCACAATTGTACATCTTAAATTTGTACAGTTGTACAAGGGGTAATGGTTTTAAACTGAAGGATATATATAGATTAGATATAAAGAAGCTATTTACCAGGAGGGTGGTGAGACACTGAAACAGACTGCCCAGAGAGGGGGGAGATGCCCCAACCCTGGAAACATTCAAGGTCAAGTTGGATTCAGAGGAAGCTGGTATATTTGAAGATGTCCCTGCCCATGGCAGGAGGGTTGGACTAGAGACCTTTAAAGGTCCCTTGCAACCCAGACTAGTCTATGTTCTATGATTCATGTACGTCTAACTAAAGTACAAGGTTACTGTAAAAGGGGAACTCTTTTTTGAACTGTAGACTGAAAAGTGCAGTCTCCATTTATACTCAGATCTTGCAGTTGCAGACTTTTGCAAGTCTGTAGGATTTAATGTTGACACTGGTGAGGGTGTGTTTTGTAATAAGAAATAACATGTTGGGTCATTTTTTCCCTCTTCTTCAGGTCAGTTTTGCGTTCCTGAAGGAATTATCTTCTCTATGCCAGTGAGCTTCCAGAATGGTAACTGGGAAGTCATAAAAGAATTAGAAATTGATGGAACGACACAAAAAGTTCTGGGACGCTTAGCCCACGAGCTAATTCAGGTGAGCATTTCTTGTCTCCCCCGTATGCCCATTCTGCCACCTATGGGCACATTGTGATACAGCCTTCAGCACTGAGACCTTTACTCCCAATGTTAGATGTACACACTGCCCACATGCACTTGGGCATGATAAAGATCAGGTATTTATAAGTGTGAGGTAGTATTCGTATATTGAAATTAACAATTCTGCTGCCCAAAAAGGAGATGGTAAAATAAGTTTACCTATGTACGTGGAGAAGTTGCACTCCAAAGTTCTGCAGGCTTTGTGCAAAACAGAAATAGTGCGTTTAATTTAATGTTTCTGCATTCTATGCCACTGATGTTGATTTTGCTTATGTGTATTCAGAGTATTTCTATGCTAGAAGACACATCTTCTGGCATTTTTATGGCTGTAACTCTGCATGAATGAAGGCCAGATATTACTAGAATTCGGAATTTTTCAGAAAATACAAAATCGATGAGCACTAATTTCGTCATGGACTTTTTGTCACTTAGTGAGGCAAAACTAATTTATTTTTAGTATTGAAATATTAAAAAGATTGGTTCAAAACTCTACATTCTAGCTTTGGTCAGTTTTGGAATCTTCAGTCATACTAGTAACATGTAAGGATTATTTTATTTTAACATATTTTAGGTTTGTGCTAGAAATTAGAGCAGATTAAAAGAATGGATGATATTAAAACTGCCTTTTTTTCCCATTTAGGAAAAGCTTGTTGCACTAAAGGAAATAAAAGAAATACATCCATATGGAGAAGGCTAAGACCCCCACATCTTTTCCCAAGTTTTTCTGTGCTGCTTTTCCTACCTAATTTGCTTTTCAAGTTGTCTGTCCTCATTCATCAAAATAAGAGTAGATGAATTTAAAAGTGTGTTTTAGTTCTGTTTTTTCACTTTTCCCCTATTCTCAGGTTCTGAAATCCCTGCGCTTTTCCAATGTTATAGCGATTTCTTTCTACTTTTAAGTCATACAGACCTTTTTTCTAGTTAGTTTTCTTTCTCCCTTCCTTCAAATTCTTTCCAGTACTTTTATATCAGCACTTACCATACTATGAGCTGTTCTTCTCCACTAAGGGCAGGCTGAAGAATGGGAAAACTGTTTGGAGCTTGATGCCCAGAGCCTGTAGCGAGCACATAAGCCTTTTGGTTATCCATGCTTTTTTCTTGGGAAAGAACTACAGACACAATAAAATATTCTTGATAATACAGAGTTTAATTATTTGGCTAATCATGACCTTGTTTAACCCAGACAGGAGATTCTCAATTAGATAACAGTGTCCTTCCCTGTCTGCTCCCTATGTATACGGCACTGCTCTTCTGTAGAGCTGCCCTATTCCTCTTGTGGCTGCGTTAAACACGAAGCAGAGGCCTTCCCACTGCTAGCAGCTATCTGCTTAGTTGTGGTCTTCTCTTGTGACATCAGTAGCAGGTGTTCAAATATTACCAAAGTGCCCTGCTGATCTCTTTGAATGTGTAGGCATTTTAAAAGGCTGGCAAAAAATATGTAGTGTTTTGGGGTTTTTTTTACAGAAATGGAAACCTTGCCTACTGGGTCACTTTAGCCAGAGTTGTCTGGAGGAAAAATTCTTGAAATTCCCATAATAAAATAAGACTTTCATTGCTCCAAGGAGCAAACTACAAAAAACGTTTAAACATTGTCATAGCTTTTGCTGTATCTTCTTCATAAAAAACCAGGAAATCTCTAGGCAGAAAAATATTTCAAAATCAGAATGAATGTAGCATTTTTAAGCTGGAGACCAAAATAAAATTCTGACTGATTCTAATGAGTCTAGGATTTCATTTGCATCCAACAACCTATTTCTTCAGACCAATAAACTGTTGCAAAAACATAGTTTAGTGTCTAAAATGTTCATATTATGAAAATATTGAGTAGGACTGTCACACCTAGAGTAGCAATTTTCTAACTCCAGATACTTATTTTGAATGTATTGAAACACAGGACTTGTGTAATAATATATCTTCTTAGGCAAAATTGATTTTTCGCACGAAAATATAAGTCCATCTCCTTAGTGACAAGATAATTTTTTGTCCCCATGGAGTTTTTTATTTATCTCATGAGTTTCAAGGGAATACTCATATGTTTTAATTCAAACATGCAATTAATTAAGTCCTTGTGTAAACAGAATTATTGAGGAACCACTCTGACTTGTATGTCTTTGGGGTCTTAAAAAATGGAAACTGTGATAATGAAATGTTACTGTACTTGCTGATTTTATCAGTTATGTTTAAAGCAAAATAGAAAGCTTCCTGTTCTTTGAATCAGATACATATAGTTGGAATAAATTCATTATTTCTGTTCAAGTGGAGGTTCAAGTTCTGAACAGGAGTAGAATTCTTATATGAGGAAACCAAGAGGAGTATATGTTATATATAGGAGGAGTTCATATGGAAATTTTAGAGGCAGGTGTAATAGAAAATCTTGAAGAAAGGGGTTAGGAATCAGTAATTTTGTGAGGAAATGGTCTCCACAGAATTAGCTTCTAGTATATGCACAGGAAATTGGCTGAGTTTTTGGGGAGCATCTGGAGGTAGAAGTCTCAGGAGAGCATAGTGGGGTGGTACCAGTAGTCATTACAAACTACCTGGTTTGTTCCATAACTCCTTCTCCAAGACAGGAGAGGAAAAGTTATCTTCTCTAATGTGTATTTACACTTGGGTTTTTTTCTATATGGAATATGATTTGGCAATCTTTTACTCTTTGAATTCTTTTATTCTGCCTGTGGAGATAGCAGTTCAAACAAACTGCAATTCAAGCACCAACACTGCACAGCTGCTAATGAGAAGGAATATAACTGTTTCTGCAATATATAAACAGGCTTATCAGACTTATTCACTAGCTGAAAAGTTTTTTTTCTCAGAGGCTGGGAGGTGAAAGAAAAAAATGTTTGGGATGTCTCTTGTATCCTAAACTATTCTAACTGGATTTGCCTAGTGGCCTGCAGGGAAATTCATGTCTTCCCTTGTGGAAGCGTAATAGAATGGAAAAGTTTCTTTTCCTAGCTTTGCTTGGGAGAGAAAGACAAAAATTAAAATAGTAGGAAAGCTAAAATATGGTAACGTATTCGAAGTTGGTTACAGTTGTAACACAGCAATTGACTCAATCATCACTAATTTGTGTTTTCTATAAGTAATAAGCCAGTACACATTTTCTCACAAGTTACCAAGTAATGTTATATATACAGGATATTCATAGCTTTGATGACTCCTACTACCTGGATGTTAGAGTAGCTGTTGAAATATTTATGAAAATGGGCATTCAGCTAAATATATGGGTCTTACATATGTTATATATATTCTGCATAAACTCTTACATTTGGGTGTTGTGAAGAGTGTGTTAGCTTTCTGGTTGGTCTGAACAATCTTTATTCTAGGACATTACCACTAGGGCTTACTTTTTTTCTTCTTTGTGTAGCTGCACCAACTATTTGTTACAGCACACTGTGCTTTCTGCATTACTGTGCCAGCTTCCACCTTAAGTCTCTATAGCAACATGTTTCTCAGCAACTGGGAGATGCTTAGTAAAGGCCCCTCAATTTAGAAATATTGCACTCCAACCTTAGAAAAATGCTTGAAACAAAGATCAAAGAAGTTTTATCTTTAATAATTCAGGATATTTATTACTATTTAATTAGTGTTCTCTGTTTTGACTGCTTAGACAATTACCTGATACTTTGATCTGGGCCTTTGCCAGGCTTTTTTTGTGAGGAGCACTAATTTAAAAGCAAAACCTTTAGAACTGTGTCTTGAAATCAACTTTTAAGTGCTATAAAACTACCGGACTCCTCTGGCAGTGTCATCTGACTTTTGGGCCTTTAGTAAGTAATGAGAGAAAGGTAAGAGCAGCTTCTATATTTAAGAGGAGACAATAATTTTGGCCTTTGAACAGGAAACAAAAGTAGCTGTAGGTTATTTTATGCATATTTAAAATGTTGATCATATGTTGCCTGATTTCAAAAGAAAAAATTCTCTGTGATCAAGTCAATTGATCTGTTGGGAGATTTCTGCCTTACTTCATGTGGCTTGTCTTTCTCTGTACTGTAACTTAATCATGTAGCATGTTTAAAAGTGCATTTTATTTGCTAAAGTACATATTCTGAGAACCTGTAAGGCAAGTAAAGTACCTATAAGTAATCAAACATTACTTTTCTTTCACATTACAATAGGTTTCAAGAAAAGGACTGCTCTTGTTCTGCACATAAGAGTATTCTTATTAATGGGACCAAGATTTATAATTGTAAAAATTTATTTCCTGCACATTTGTACATAATTTTAATGTTCTCATTTATTTGTTTTCTGGTTCTTTCATTGTTAAAGGGCACAAGTAGCTGAAATATAACACACTGGCTGAAATGGTGTATGAATGAGCAAAGTTAGTTCAGATTTGATGGCTGGCAGATACTGCTTCTACTTTCATATTATGTTCATTATAAGGTAGATGTGCTAATACTGAAGTAGATTCTGTTCATTTCACCCAGGCATTTCTAACTGCAGTCAAGATCTGGACTGTCCACAGAGTTTTGTATATAAAAATGTAGACTGTACATACATTAATAATGCCTTTTGTAACATTTTGGAGGGAGGATTCATAGGTATGATGTTGTATAATGGTGGGCAGTTTGGTAAAACACATAAACACATGCTTAACTTTGAGACTATAAATACCCTAATCGAAGGCTATAGGGTCTTTCCATATGGGTCATTTAAATGTTGGACACTGCACTGTACTGAATAGAGATCTTGTCATTTTACAGTATCAGGTGCTCATAGATTATGCATACTGCATAATTCAGTAAGGATCTGTTCTTATTTGAGTAAGCAAATTCAATGAGTTCTGTATATTTTTACATTCATTCCATCCTCTCTCTTTATTTTATGTACCCTTGGTGTAGAGGAAAAACAGGAGGAAAACATGAGGCAAGCTGTGTGTTTGTAAGTTTACCTTCTAGGTTTCTTACAAAACATGTAGCTTTCAATAAACACTTATGTTTAATTCACTGTTTAGAATCTTCTGATTTCATTGATTTGCCTACATTGACTTTTCTGTCAGGCTATGCAGAGGCACCTACTACTGCATGTATTTTAGGAGTAATTGTATCATATTTGCATATATATCACATGTATATTTGCATATGCATATGTATATGCACACAGTTACATGCCTGTGTAAATGTTGGGCAGAGCTGTAGTCTTGCAGAACCCAGTGTTGAGTCCAAGCTCTAAATCTGAGTAAGGAAGAAAATAGAAGAACAGTGGAAAAGAAACATAGTGGTATTTCTTTCAGAGAAAGACTTAAGTAAAAACTGTGACATTGTAGTCTTTAATGAAAAGTTATGAAAGCAAATCTGTATCCCATTATTTTAAGTATTTATAGATTACTTAGAAACTGAAACACAAAGTAGCAGCTTTCACCAACTAAGATGGTGAGAAGCATATTTATGGTAGACTGAACAATTACAGATCATTGAATATTTATGCTTCATAATTGGCCAGTATTCTGTCATGTTTATGTCAAATGATCAATGATTCTCACTGGAAAAATGTAGTAAGTGAACATTTGTTTAAGTTAGGGTTTAACACCAAAGGTATTATTTAAGTTTTAAATAATTTCCAAGTATTTAATTTTTATTTATTCTAGCAAAATTTCCCTTTTTCTCCACAATAAGCTGTATATGTGGCCCTTGGAATCTTGTAAAACTTAGATCCATTATACCTAATGTTTTGCAACTGTAATATTAACTGATAGTTACTATAATTAATACATATTTTTATGTTTGAAAATATGATGTAGTTTAGAGCATTAATGACATAAATCCTGAGGGGACAGTTTCCATTATTATCAGGGACATAATTACTTTTGCTTTCAGAGTTGTTTAAAAAAGGAGGTTCATGGTTATCCTTCTTTTTTGCCTTCCAAGTCAGCTCAATAAGAAATAATGTCACCTCAGACAAAAACGTAAGTAAGTTCTGTTTGAAAATTTTAGGAAATACTCGTGAGCAATTGCAATCAATGAATCTTGGGAAGAGGCTGGTTTACAGTTATACCCTCTGTGACCTGAAATTGTACACTATGGACTGTGTAGTAATCCTGCATGTAAACACTGGACTCTTACAGTGAAAGGTCCCATTTCCTGTACTTGAAACTGTTTTGAGGATCAGTTTTGCCTTGCTGGAGTTTTGCAATTACT